GCCCAGGTGGGTCTTGAACCTGCGGGCTCAGGCAGTCCACTCACCTCAGCCTCCCAAAGCGCGGGATTACAGGCTGAGCCACCGAACGTGGCTTCATCATGGGCTCTTGACTCTAAGGATTGCATTGAACAGCCATGGAGTCCTCTTAGGAGAATAAGAACGTTTGAGTCCAGTGCCGTGATGCTCTGACCCACTGGAGAGATATATCAGCTGTCAAAAAATTTTCACTGGGTACAGTAGCTCACGCATGTAATCCCAGCATTTTGGGAGGTGGAGGCGAGAGAATTGCCTGAGCCCAGGGGTTTGAGACTAGCTTGAGCATTATGATGAGACCTCATTTCTACAATAAATCAAAAAACTAGCCAGACATGGTGGCATAAGCTTGTGATTCCAGCTACTTGGAAGGCTGGGGCAGAAGGATCACCTAAGCCCAGCAGGTTGGGACTGGGGTGGCCGTGAGTATGCCACTGCATTCCAGCCTGGGCGACAGAGTGAGACTCCTACTCAAAAAAAAAACTTTGTTTTCATATCTTCCAGAGATTATTGATTGCAAATTGTTAAATCTTTTAGTTTTATTATTGTCACATGTTCAAAATTTTACTGTTTATTGTACATCTGAGGGTTTTTACATTTTCGAATATTTAAAGTTTTCTGCCTTTTCCTGAGTAAGAGAGTGATGTGATAAACACAGTTTGTTACAAAGATTGATTGGATAACAACAGATGACAGAGAGGGGTCGAAAGACTGAATTCTGGAAGAGCTGAGGCAAGAAGAGAGGAGGGGCTGGCCTGGAAAACCACCAGGGGGCTGGGGTGGCAGAGACATCCCCAAGGAGAGTGCCAGGACCCAAAGTGGGTAGGATAGAAGGAACAGCTCTCAGCCCTTGGGGCATAAAGGAGACACCAAGGCCCATGGCATGAAAGAGGCCATTTTTATAGCCATCTTCGCTAGAGCCGCATAGCTCCCCCCTCCCCACACCTCTTCAAGTCTGTGCCTGTCAGACATCAGGTGCATTTTCTAGTCAGACACGTGTGAACTGACTAAACATGCGGTGGTACATTTATCACGCAACATGGGCTCCACGTTGCCAGGATGGAATGTGCTGACCCCTGAAGCCAGAGTTGGAAATTGGAGGCATGTGATAAAAACTCAAGGAATTTAAAGCAAACATGAGTAATCGCTTTCATCGTTCCTGCAAATGTTGTTCCATGTGGTCTCATCAGCTATGTGGATGTTTTTTCTTCTTCAGATCATTGTTTTTCAAACATACACAAATCAAAGTCAGGTGCCCATTGAGGCAAAATACATCTTTCCCCTGGACGACAAGGCAGCCGTGTGTGGCTTTGAAGCCTTCATCAATGGGAAGCACATCGTGGGCGAGGTAAGGAGCGCAGAGGTCTGTGGCCACTCTGTGCTTCCAGAGTCAGTTCCCGTGAACCGAAGTCTTTGTTTTCTGAGTCCCATGGCTATAGGGTTGTGAGGTAGCCTTCTCATAAAACAAGAATGTTCTCTGGAGCCAGCTCTTACATGGTTAGCTCCACTCACATATCCCCTGATGAACTGTTTCTGTGCCTACCTGTCTACTCTTCATTGTCAGGGTCTGGCAGGTTCTTGGCCTCAGCCCTTCCAAAAAAGAGTGATCTTAATATCAAATATTTAAGAGAGGTGCATCGGAAAGTTGGTGAAGGCTTAGATATTTTTGCGAAAACTGATCTTCTGTATTCTGCTATAGAAGTCAAACTGGAGGCCATTGCTCAACATTTGAGCTATGATCAGGCCATGTTTCCTGGCTTTGGCCCCCTCCCTTACCTTGCAGAGGTGAATACTCTCTCTCTCTCTCTCTCTCTCTCTCTCTCTCTCTCTAACTTAGTTTTGAAATAGACTATATTCTCTAATCTAAAAAAAAAAAAGTCAAGCTGCACTGAAGACAACTGTTGTAGCCTTCTAAAACAATTGTACCAAAAGAAATAACAGTGGCCGGGCACGGTGGCTCAAGCCTATAATCCCAGCATTTCGGGAGGCTGAGATGAGAGGATTGCCTGAGCCCATGGGTTCGAGACCAGCCTAGGCAACATGGTGAGACCTCCTCTTTACAATAAATCAAAAAATAGCCGGGCATGGTAGCACACGCTTGTAGTTCTGGCTACTTGGAAGGCTGAAGCGGAAGGATTGCTGGAGCCCAGTAGGTCGATGCTCGGGTAGCTGTGAACTTGCCACTGCACTCCAGCCTGGGCAACAAAGTGAGACTCCAACTCAAAAAAAAAAAAAAAGAAATAACAGTGGATTCATTCTTTGTTTATCCTAAGAATTATCCTACAGTTGCAATTATAGTCCAGAGTTTAGTTTAAAATAATTTTTTTGAGCCGGGCTCGGTGGCTCAGCCTGTAATCCCAGCACTTTGGGAGGCTGAGGTGAGTGAATTGCCTGAGCCCGCGGGTTCGAGACTCGCCTGGGCAACTTGGCGAAACCTCATCTCTACAATAAATAAATAAATAAATTAGCCAGGCATGGTAGCGCATGCCTGTAATTCCGGCTACTCGGAAGGCTGAGGTGGAAGGATCGCTGGAGCCCAGCAGGTCGAGGCTGCAGTGGCCAGGAGTGGCCACTGCACTTCAGTCTGGGCGACAGAATGAGATTCCAACTCAAAAAATAAAAAATAGATAAAAAATAAAATAAAATAATTTTTTTGTTGTTCAACATAACATCCCGACCAAACATTTTTTCCTGCACTATTGACTCTGAAATATTTTGGTCAACTTAAAGAGAATCCTCTGGCTGGGCTTGGTGACTCAGCCTGTAATTCCAGCACTCTGGGAGGCTGAGGCGAGTGGATTGTCTGACCCTGCAGGTTCGAGACCCATCTGGGCAATTTGGCGAGACCTCTTTTCTGTAGTAAACCAAAAATTAGCTGGGCATGGTAGCATGCGCCTGTAGTTCCGGCTACTTGGAAGACTGAGGCGGAAATATCGCCGGAGCCCAGCAGGTCGATGTTGCGGTGGCCAGGAGCATGCTACTGTACTCCACTCTGGGCGACAGAGTAAGACTCCAACTCAAAAAAAAAAGAAGCGAGAATCCTCTTCATTTGGCCTTTTCTGGTTCAAATTCTTATCAGAAGTACATTTTCATGATCATATTATGTAAGTTTTCATTTACTGTAGACTCTTAGTTTTCTGTTTTACCTAGTTTTCAATAAATACTGATATCATTTTCTTTATGAAAGTCTGAAGTCACCCTTCATATAAGGAGTGGCTTAAAAATCATCTTTTCCAGATCAAAGAGAAGGAAGAGGCCCACCGAGAATATCGAGAGGCCGTGAGCCAGGGCCACGGTGCCTACCTGATGGACCAGGATGCTGCGGTATGGAGGGGTGTCTCCCAGGGTCAGCAGATGCACAAGGAGGGTAAACAGAGTCAGCAGGGATTTGAAATATGAAATTTCCAATAGAGGTCATTAGGTACTGCAAGCAAGGGGAAACCACGCTGGTCAGGCCCATGTGACTCATCTAAGAAAAGGAAGACAAGTGTCAATAGCACCAGACAGGCAGGAAGAGCCAGTCCTTTCATGGGAAGCTAAGTTTCCCAGCAGTGAGGACAACACAACACTTGAGTGGTGGCTCAAGCCTGTAATCCCAGCACTTTGGGAGGCCAAGGTGAGAGGATTGCCTGAGCCTGTGGTGAATGTTCAAGACCAGCCTAGGCAACATGGTGAGACCTTGTCTCTACAATAAATCAAAAAATTAGCCAGATGTGGTAGCGGGTACCTGTAGTTCTGGCTACTTGGAAGACTGAGGTGGAAGGATTGCCAGAGCCCAGCCAGGTCAATGCTGAGTGGCTGTGAGCATGCCACTGCACTCCAACCTGGACAACAGAATAAGACTCCAACTCAAAAAATAAATAAATAAAAATTAAAAAAATAAATGTGGCAGGTTTAGCTGGGCATGGTGGTGCACATCTGTAGTTCCAACATTTTGTGAGGCAGAGGTGAGAGGATTGCCTGAGCCCAGGGTTTTGAGACCAGCCTGGGCAACTGGGCAAGACCTTGTCTCTACAATAAATAAAAAAATTAGCCAGATGTGGTAGCGGGCACCTGTAGTTCTGGCTACTTGGAAGACTGAGGCGGAAGGATTGCCAGAGCCCAGCCAGGTCAATGCTGGGTGGCTGTGAGCATGCCATTGCACTCCAGCCTGGGCAACAGAGTAAGACTCCAACTCAAAAAATAAATAAATAAATAAAGTGGCAGGTTTAGCTGGGCATGGTGGTGCACATCTGTAATCCCAACACTTTGTGAGGCAGAGGTGAGAGGATTGCCTGAGCCCAGGGTTTTGAGACCAGCCTGAGCAACTGGGCAAGACCTTGTCTCTACAAAATAAATCAAAAAATTAGCTGGGCATGGTGACATGTGCCTGTATTTCAGTTACTTGGAAGGCTTAGGCGGAAGGATCACCTGAGCCCAGTACGTCACGGCTGCGGTGGCCATGATCGTGCCACTGCACTCCAGCTTGGTGACAGAGTGAGACTCCGATTCAAAAAACAAACAAAGAATGACAGGTACTAGATCACATGCAGGCATCATCTATCCTGTATCTCTAGAGCAGATGTTTTAGGTGTCTTTGCAGATAGGCCATATGTTTGGGTGTCACCTCTGAGGACAACACATGGTTATCGTACTGTGAATAGTTAATGTTTGTTGGAGGTGAGGACATAGTAAAGAGTAATTAGACTTAAGGGGTAAATGGTTACTTTTGACATCTAAGATATCCATTTGCAGAGTGGGAGTAAGCAGTGAAGAGGGGATGATTGAACAGTTAGGAATGCCGGCCCCTGGCCAACCTAAGCGTGTAGAAGCCACAGTTCACTGGAGAGGCTGCCACTATTTAATTGTCTTGGGTGATTGTTGTATGTGAGTTGGTCAACATGTTTCCTCCCTGATACCTACCTGTTTCCCTAGGAATATGGTCCTTCCAGAGGGTACCACCTATGGGTAGAGTCTGGTCAGAACTATTGCAAACCCAAGCCTTTGGAACTTCTAAAATATATTTTGCCATCTAGTGACTGCAATGTTCTTATACTGTATTTATATAATAATATATTATTATATACATGCCACATATATTTTATTATATATATAATAATGTATTATTATATGCATGCCACATATATTTTGTCATATATGTATTATTTTGGGGTCTTACTCTGTTGCCCAGGCTGGAATGCAGTGGTACAATTACAGCTCACCACTGCCTTGACCTCCTGGGCTCAGGTGATCCTTCCACCTAGGCCTCCTGAGTAGCTGGGATTACAGGCCTGTGTTGAGTATTTCTTTATGACTCCATTTTATCTCCGTTATTGGCTTATTAATTATATCTTTCTTAAAAATGTTTAGTTGTTGCTCTAAAGCTACATGTTAAAATATTGTAAGCCGGTACAGTGGCTCACGCCTGTAATCCCAGCACTTTGGGAGGCAGAAGCGAAAAGATTACCTGAGCCCAGGGGTTTGAGACTAGCCTGAGCACCCTGGTGAGATCTCATCAATACAATAAATAAAAAAATTAGCTGGGCGTGGTGGTGTGCGCCTGGGGTTCCAGCTACTTGGAAGGCTGAGGCGGAAGGATCGCCTGAGCCTTGCAGATCGAGGCTGTGGTGGCCATGAGCTTGCCCCTGCACTCCAGCCTGGGCAGCAAAGTGAGACTCCAACTAAAAATGTATATATATATTGTAGCCACTACTCACATGTGGATACTTAAATTTAAATTTAATTTAAAAAATAAAAGTAAACACTTGCATGTAGTCAGTGACTGTCTTATTTATTAGTATACATAGAACATTTTTTTTTTTTTTTTTTTT